GTCGAGACGATCACAACCGCACGATGTTGATGCCAAGGCTGACCGCAAGAAGATCCACGAGGTTAGCAGAACACCAGAGCACCGCACCCGACATCAGTCCCCCCGCTGCCGACTCGATTCGCCATGTTCGAGAAAGTTTCGGGGCGATTGACGACGATGGCGGGAAGACCAAACGCTTCGCACAAGGCCGTAGACTAACCAGTGTTTTTTTTTCGTCGCAATAGTACCTCTTCCGAGAGGGTGTCCTCGTCGCCGCGAAGGACTTCAACCTCCCCAAGCACCCCGACATCGACACGAAGAACCTTTTCGTCATCAAGGCTCTCCAGTCGCTCAACTCGCGCGGCTACGTCAAGACCCAGTTCAGCTGGCAATACTACTACTACACCCTCACCCCCGAGGGTCTCGATTACCTGCGCGAATGGCTCCACCTGCCCGCTGAGATCGTTCCTGCCACCCACATCAAGCAGCAGCGATCCCACGCTCCCCCCCGCGGCATGCTCGGCGAGGGTGAGCGCGAGCGCAAGCCGTTCGGCGGCCGTGGCCGTGGTGGTGACCGGGGTGACCGTGAGGGTGGCTACCGCCGCCGGGAGGCTGGTGGTGAGGGCAAGGAGGGTGGTGCGCCTGCCGGCTTCGAGCCGCAGTTGTAAGCTCCGCCAAACCCCCCCTTACGCGAAAAAAGTGACGAGAGACAGACCCGCTAACGAGACTTTTGCAGCCGTGGTGGCTACGGCCGTGGCCGTGGTGCCGCTCCCCCCTCGTAAACGGAGAGGGTCCTTTCCTAACGACTTTCACTCTCGAGACGCACATGGCGAAAAAAATAGGGCACCGACATGTATTCTGAAAAGTGGAGGGCCGGAATGATCGCGCGTCGGGTTCACGTCATACAGACTACGGGGGAAACATCGTAGGGAGTTTGGAGGATAGATCCTCGGACATTGCGGTTGCATTAACGGACACTTTCTCGCACGCAGATGCTGTGCTGTTTGCCGATTTTCGTCTGTGATTCGTGTGAGGTGTGCATTGTGACGAGATGCGATGTACATGATAACCAGCGCAATGCAGATGATGTCAATTGAATACCAAAAGTGCTCGCAAGCAATTAGAGCTGCAGGTAGGACGATGGCGGCCCTGGGACACGAGGACCATTCTTGCACTCGATGGCCTGCGCTCGCCACGACCACCACTCACTCAGCCAGCTGTCCCACAAGTGTCAATTGACCCTCCCTCACCTGCGGACGGCCTGTCATCGACAGTAGTCAACGCCCACCCCTCCACACCAAGATTCCAACACGGCGTGCTAGCACATCAGGAGTCGGCCGTGCATATGCCCAAATAGCGGTGACACTGCAAGTAGGCTGTTGGTCGTTCAACGGATGCGAGGTGAGGTGCACGATGGGCAGGGGCGCTACAGGTCGGTGGTTCGCGTAGCACGGAAAGCTGAGGAGCTTCCCCGCCAACGCTGCGACAACGTGCCCATGCGGTGCAGAGCCGAAGGACGATGCACTGCTCCGTGAGGTGGCAGGCGACAACATCGCACAGCTTTTTTTCGCAGGCTGGTGGTGCGAAGGTGTCGTCCATACGATCAGTAATGCGGGAGGGCCCAGACTAGGTGCCCGACGAAAGAACCATCTCCTGTGTTTTTTTTCACTGGCCATCGCCCTCCCCTTGGGATCTGGCACCTAAGCTCAGGCGGCGAGCGGCCGGACAAAGACACATCCACGAAGCCATCCCAACACACCTGGACAATCGGGACCGACATGCGAGATGCAGGGCACATCTTTCACGGCCTGCTGTCAGTGTATGTCTCAGCACCCCACGTCCAGGTCCCCTCGACATCTCCATCTAGACCCGAGGAGTTGCATCGGGCCAATGTTCCCTGCCCTGCCGCCCGCGTCAGCTCAACCGACCGACGCCGGACTTCCAGGCCTCAACACACGCTTCTTCATGGAGATTAACACTGCCACCATCCGACAGTGGGGTGGCATGTCCGACGGGATGTGCTACAGTGCGGAGAGTCAAGGTAGCGAACGAGGCACAATGTGAGCAGTGGGCATGTCGTTTGTGACTCTGGGTTTCGATTCTAGCACAATTCACCACTAGGCCGCGTCCCACGTCCCACCAGAGAGTAGTAGCCCGAGATAAGACTCGTCGGCGGTGCTGAAGCTGCACCAACGACGCCTAGATTTCGAGGGGAGGTGGATCCGTGCCCCTCCTCCTCCCCAAGTACCTACTTCGTTGCTCTGTTGCAGCCAAACTGCAGTTTCTTGCGACCCGGCCACCACCTGAACATGAACAGTACTGCAATTGAGCCACTTTGAACGGTCTTTTTCGGGGACGGGTCGTCAATGAGGCGTCGACAGGGTCAAGTCGTTCAAATTCCAAGCTCGATCGGCAACATATTCAACTGAAATGATGGGTCTTGCCCCAATCCTCGATACTCTTTTCCAGTATAGTTTTTCAACATGTTACTTGATGAACGTCATGGATTTCACCAACAGTTTCTATGACGTCTGGCTCTGCGAGGAACCAAATTGAACGGGCATTGAACTGAAGAGCTCGTGACCTGTGCAAGTGTTTGCTAATATTTAATGCTTTTATTGTCTGCGTTCTGCGATCTGCGTTCTGCGTTTTGCGTTCTCTCAAGCACCCAAATGTAACAAGCTCTGGTACTTATATCAAGAACTGTTTTCACAAGGGACGCAGCCCAAGCTGGACGAGCCCTCAAGACTGTCTCTGCTTTATGAGCAGCCTTGAAACGGCCGTTGTCGACTCTGTAATGGAGGCCAAAGGTCTATGGATGGAAGAGCTGTGAATAAGTAGCAGCTCCTTGATCGCCTGCAATGGTAGAGTAGACTTCAAACTGACCCTGGGAGGTACATTGGTTGCTCTCTATCAGGACATGCCACAGTATAGCATTCACACGAGCTCATACATATTCTATCTAGACAATTGTACAAAAGAATGGTTGCAAGGCCTCTTGTCAGAGCGCGACTTGGCCCAAGTCACTCGTCTCGTTGCACCTGTTCCCTTGTCCTATGGAGGGTGCAACCTCAATTCGGAGAAGGCCCGCCAAACTGTTTGATAGAACTTGAGTGCTCCTTGTAAAAATGGACTGTCGGTTATCCCCGAGCCGAATCTTCACGTTGATCGAAAGAAGAACCGTAGCTATCCCACTGGTTGATGCGTTCGAAGCACCTCTGATGATCAAGAGAATCCAGTGAGCAAAGCCGACTAAATCGTTCGCATCTGTTCCTAGGAAAGGGTCATTCATTAACATCGAAATACACGTTATTCGATTCTTGGGTCATTACTCTCGAAAAGCACGTGGCAAGGCATCGGGTACTTCACTCTGAATCCCTGAGTTTCAGACCCTGTGTCCGTGATCTGATGGCATGTGGTGGGGTGACATGTCCGAGCGAGGGAACGCTTTCTCCACTCTCGACGATATAAGTCACACTATTAAGGCCCAACTGTCAAAGTCGGGCCCAGAAGACTTTATCAGCGCGTCACGGTGCTAGAAGGGAATCTGCCTTGGTTTTTCAGAGGTGCTGCAGGCGCACACTTCATAGCGCGTAGCGCCGCGGTGTGGCCATCGCACGTTCAGATTTTCCTTTGCGTCGTTATCCTGTTGCTCCTCGTTCCTCTCCAGCAGCGTTCGTTTCCAGCAGCAGCACGAGGACATCATTACATGGCCAGATCATCATCACCAACATCTGTGTTGCTACCTCCCTCTCAACGAGCTTCACATTTTGTTGGCCACCCCGCGGCCCGCGCCCCCTCGTGTCTCTTCCGTTCCCCCTTCCAAGAGTCAGAGCTCGTCGATCAACGCAACGCCCGCTGACAGGGAGGCGGCCATACTCCAATCCCGTACATGCGAGCTGCGCCAGGCGAGCCTGAACTGCCTTTCCTAAGGCACCACGAGGTGGGGTGAGTGAGGGGCAAGTTTTCCACGGACCATGCCAATGCACTGAGCTACCAGACCTCCCTCTCACCACCTATCTGCCTGCTTCTCACCACGCGTCAGACCAGCTGAAAGGTCGGTCTGCAACGTAGAGATCTGCCCTGGCTGCGTCTATGGCCTTGCCGCTCCCTTTCTCCTGGCCTCCCGGCAGCCCCATGGACGTGTGTGTGTGTGTGTGTATGCCCCCCTGTCTGTGCCCCTCCACCCCCCCTGCGACCTGCCGCCCCAAAGTACAATCCATGCCATCCCATCGCATCCTCTTCATCATCATCGTGGGCCCCAAGGAGGGGCCCAGGCCTCCGGTCGTGCTACGCGGGGGTGCTAGAGCGGAATGGGAATGGCATCGCGTCCACCCCGCGCTGTTGAGCGGACCTCTGACGTTGAGCTCTGGCCTGCTTTTTGGCTCCCTGTGCTGGTTGCTACATGCCTGTTTTCCTTGCTGCTGTTCCTCCCCCCCCCCTCAGAGGCGGGCCCCTCCCAAGCTGAACCAGCTGTCGCTTTTTTGGTATAAAGTCTTCAGGATGTCCCGTGTGGAAGCTTGACATTTAGAGTTGCCGGGCTTTTTTTCTCTCTGAAGGTTTAATTGATACCTATCTCCAGCTCTTCGTGTTTCTTATCTTGCAGTGAACTGAAGAAAGAGACCTCTCTCCTCACTTATACATCCCATTCTGTCTACTCGAGCTCACGTATTTCTTCTTCCATCCTTGAATACCACACAAATCCGTCAAAATGGCAAACCTTCCCAAGCAGATGAAGGCTCTCCGGTACGCTGTCTGAACCTGTCACCCGTTGCCCCCCCCCCCGCCCTCAATCTCCATACTGATGCCGTCGACCAGCTACGAGAAGCCCGAGGACTGGTCCATCGGCGAGGTCCCCCTCCCCGAGCTCCGCCCCAATGACATCCTCATCAAGGTCCCGCGCCCTGGCGGTGTCTGCGGCACTGGTGCGTTCCTCCCCCTTCGCCATAGCTTAAAGAGATGGGAAAGACCAAGGGATGGGGCAACACGACTGACACTCATCGACAGACCTGCACATCCACGAGGGCGAGTTCATCGCCAAGTTCCCCCTAATTCCCGGGCCACGAGACGGTTCGGCGTCGTCGCCGCCGTCGGCCCCCGAGGTCAAGGGCTTCCCAGATTGGCGACCGCGTCGCGGCCGACAACAGCGAGCTCTGCAACGAGTGCTTCTACTGCCGCCGCGGCGAGCTCCTCCTCTGCGAAAAGTTTGAGGCCCACGGCGTCACCATGAACGGCGGCTTCGCCGAGTACTGCGCGTACCCGGCGGGCAAGGTGTTCAAGTTCAGCAACCTCACCGACGTCGACGCGACGCTGCTCGAGCCGGCCTCCTGGGCTTGCAAGGCCTCGAAAAGATCCGCCCCCCGCCTGGGCTCGAGCGTGGTGGGTCCTCTAGAGCGCC